GACCCACAAAAAGTTGATGATTTTCTTTTTTTTCCAGCAACAGCTTCAAAAAGAGGATGCTGAGAATATGGTACCAATGGTGAGCGTGTCTGACCTCAGTCGACTGTTCTCGCAATTTTCAACCGATGCATCAAGAAGCGTGCAACATCATGTCTTATCGAATTGAATTTGCTCCTCTCGACCTTGTTTTTTCTTGGATTGAGCTTTATGAATTTAACTATATTATATTTTGTACAGTTACTATTGTTTCATCACCGTTATTGCTGATGTCTCCATTGTTCGGGTTGATAGAGCAAAAGCTTCCGATATAAAATTCTTCAAGATGTGATTCAAGTGAAAGGAGCACAATTGTAAAGCATGCCATTGCATTGAGAATGGTTCCTCGCTTCATGAACTAACTCAGATAATACATAAAATGAAAGTTCCGTTGACAAAATCACTTGACCGTGTGAAAAATTCTGGAGCAGAAAATTGATCACTTTGTGCAAACGGACTACTTTGATGGAAGTGTTTTCACAATCGTATCGTCCGAGCATATGAATTTTCAGAGATTGAAATTCCAGGATATTTCTAATCTTGAAAAAACTGGATACTGATTTACATTTTGTATTGTGTTTGTTAATTCTGTTTCGTTGATGTGTTCTTTCATATTTTGAGATCGTGCAGAAATAAAGGTAAAGATGATTTATCTCTCGCATATTCAATCACCGACGTACACATTTTTGTTAGCATCCATACTCGATTCTCGCAGCGATATTAATGTTTGTCAATTATAAACAGCAATCAACAGCATTCCATAGGAATTGCCCATATGTGTAGAGTGATGAAAAATAAGAATCACGTAAAGAAAAACGTAGTGAATTATTCCTTAGGAATATGAAATCGAACTGATGATGGGAGCAAAAAATTTGTTAAAAACCGATTCCAGCAACTCATCAAGCTTCGCAGCTGTCATCAATGTCGCAAAAAAACAATTCATCAAGTGGGCAAATTTGTGATGTCCATCAGTTTACGAAGTTTCTAATTATGTAGCAATTTAGCAAAATGCTCTCACTTCTTCTGTCATTATCATTATCCGCCGACCTGCATTAACCGAAGGTTTTATGCGTTCATTGAACAAATTATCAGCTCAGTTTCAGTCGTCATTGTTCTGAGCAAACGTGAAATGCATTTGCTGAATAAATATAAGGGTGACTTGTTTGAATGCTAAGAACCGGAAAAAATTTCAAATTCGAACCACTTCCCGTTGATGTTTTTAAGAAATATTCACCGAAGCAGATATGAATTGAAAATTCAGCTAATTCAANTGATGTGTCAAAGAGTAATAAGCTTGCTCTGAGCGAATGATATAGTATTGGTGTGAATAGCGCATATGGATATGACAAGATGATTTCATATTGTTAATTTTGGTTGAGATGATGTTGTGTGGTTGCTAATATGTAGTGTCTCTCTCTAACTTTCATGCGTTCAATCAAGCAATGAAGCATTGTAATATTGTCTTTTAGACAACTGCTAAAGCATGACATCAACATCATCGAAAAAGATGAAGCTGGGCATTTAAAAGTATAGATTATATAATAGCTGCTGCTGCTGCTACATCAATGAATGTGTGTATGCATATTAGCTGAAGCTATCATTTGTGCTGTGCAGCTGTCGCATTCCACGCACAAATGACCAAATTCGATATGAGGCAGTTGCAGCTGTGAGTAACAGCATGTCCAGATAAAGTCTCTGCTTCCTAATCTAGTACCATTACTGCTATCTCTGCCGCCATCATCATCATCTATCCATAGGCACAAATCATCCACTCCACTCGATTCTATCCAAAATTAGTCCCTCATTCATGCACTCTTTGCCTCAAGCCAAATATATCAACGTCTGTCCCATCAACCGATCGAACTAAACGAGTGTACATGTTTCCGGGATCGCAGTATGCTCTCGAAAATGATATCTTAAGCATTTACGGACCACTTTATTCAGACGAAATCGTCTGTCCAACGTTAGCTTCGAGAGTAAAAGTTTCCCAAGTGGGGACGTCCTAATTCACAATGGAAACAAGCATTCGCATGATAATTCCTTGCTCCACAGTACCACATGCGAACTTTCTTTGTGAATCGTTTACTGCTGCTCAATAAAACGCACATTGGCAACGATAAAAACGATGAGAAAATTTTGCTTGGTAAAATTTTCTTCTTCGATCACACATGAACTTCCTGATCACATATGCAATATGTTGCAATCAATGATCTACGTAATACAGTACTGTGCAATATACTCTTAACAAACCAATATACAATATATGCTAACGAAACAAAAACAAATGAAGGCAAGAATAAATTACGACCTCTGTTTTTCAAATGTACAAATATGCTTTGCACTGCTGTAAGATTCTGGTCGTACTTAATATCCGTATTTGTGTTAAAATACTAAGGACAAAAGGAAATGCCATAAATCGCACCAATCGTTATGATCATAAATTCTTCGAGGTAATAATGAACTATTCAAGTTAAAATGCCTTGGCAAATCTGTTTGTGTGCGGCCAGAAATATTCAATGAATATTGTGAGCAGAAAGTTGAGTTTATGATGAGTTTTAAGATGTTCACTGTGACCAGATCCGCGAATCATGTGAAACATAATGCCGAAATATTTCTTTTGATAATTATGAGGTTAATTTTGATAATTCTAAAAATTATGCGCACTCCGGACAATACGCTCATGCCTCGCCTAAAATCAAGCGTAAATTTAAGCCTTAGTGGCACCCTGAGCCTGAATCTAAATTGAGCCTTGCTCTAGGAGTAAAGTACTCTCTCCACTCATTCCTTCTCCTCTCCCCTCCCTCTAAAGACAACCACGAAAAGAGTATCCTGCGAAATTTTTGCTGTACAATTGTGAGTAACATATTCTTGAACAGTTTCTTAGCTAATTACATGCAAATAGTGTGATTCGCAAATACGGCCCTAATTTGAGGCTATTTGAGCAAAGCGAGTGGATGTGAAGCAACAAACTCTGGTGCATGGAGAATTGAATAATCATTGAGGATAACTCATAGTTAGGCTATTCGGGCATGCCAAAGCAGTTTTGTTATCTGCATTGCTACAGATCTGCAGCTTTTATCTCCTCTGGCCCCATTTGACTGAATGGTCATAATAGCTGAACGAATGGCTTGTGTGCGCAGATTGCGGCTAATCTCTCAATGGTCGGTATCCACACATAATCAGATATCAAAACATGTTTTGTGGAATGTTTTCAACGTATCACCATTTCATGGATTGTTTAACGTACTCACTATTTATACACTACTCTTAACCATCTGAAAATTTACTGATAATCGTACTCGTTCAAAATCAATGCAGTTTTAATCACACATGAAATCAGCACATTTCCAGATCGGTTCCATTCGATTAATTAATATTGTGAAGTGCCATGATACAGCTATGAAGAAAATGCAATAGATACTTACACAGTTGACGACGATTCCGCATTAAGAGCCATTTGTTGCAAGCAAAACCGACGATCCATTACGTTCGGTTTACTTTTTACAGCTTCTTCGTATTCGGAAGTGATAGTGGAGCCAAGATGTCAAAGGAGAACAAAGAAAAATGAAATGTGTCACACCTTGGTAAAAATTGGAATCATAGTTTCAAGGTGGATGATATTGATGATGTGTAGTATGCGTGATAAATCATTTGGGCATATAGTTTTGAGGATTTTGTTTAGCATTGATACAGGTGCTGTGGGTTTCACTGAACGGGATAGAAGGATCAAACAGCTGCATTTTGAGCACCTGGTAAACAGGGCTGCACTCCTCGATGTGGTATAGCCTTTGAGAGGATCTGATGTGAACAGATGCTTAGTACTGCTGGATCAGTCGAATATATGCACAAAACATCTCCATCATTTGGGTGATACGCAATGATTTTCTTGAAATGAGGGTTTATTCAACAAAAAAAAGTTATTAACTTGCTTTGACCCGGATCAGAAATTAACATTGGAATGCATTGTCATTGGACTGCAATGCATTAACATTGTCTATCATCAATGAGTAAATGTGCGCATCGTATTGTAAGCGATCGCACTAATGTCATTCATCTTCAAGAAACACTATTCTATAATTATCAAGCGCATTCAAGCTTTTGTATGTATATCAAGATGGATAAGAATGTATACAGATGAACCATAACTCAGTTCTTCATCAAATAAACCAGTTCTACTTTAAAGCATATCGTTTTCGCAAACTGTTGTGAGTATTCCATGAACTGCTCCGATAGAAATGTAAGCCACTGTGCTCATTGCATTCAAAATGGCGAAAATGATATGAAATAAACCAGTTCTACTTTAAAGCACATCGTTTTCGGAAACTGTTGTGAGTATTCCATGAACTGCTCCGATGGAAATGTAAGCCACTGTGCTCATTGCATTCAAAATGGCGAAAATGATATGAATAATTCGAGAAGCATGACATATGTGTGAATGTGTTATTAGCATGATAAACTGAGGGTGTTCGAACAAGATGCATTTCCAGATGTGTTCCGTGATGATGGCGCAAATGAGCATTTGTTGTTTGGTTGATCCGTCTGCTTATCATCTGCCTCATTCAAAATGAAGCATATTCATCTGCTCATTTATTAGCTAATATCCCATTCAATACCTTTTTGTGTATCTAATATCTGCCATTCATATGCCATAGAAATTGTTTTCCGATTCCCAGTGGTTCAGCGCAAATTCGATTCAAATGATTTATCAAAAGAAACCATCAGAAAATCCTCGAGAATTTTTTGGATCATGAATGCGTAATATGTCAACCCATAAAGAGTAACGAAAAACTGGAAATGATCTCCGTCGTGCAACAATGAATAACTTTTGGTTGCGAAGAAATGTAAATTAATAGTCGCAAACACGTATTTCGGTTTCATCCATTTTATACAGTCATGTTAGTCATTTAGAAAAGTCACGAAGAAGAGAAATTCTTATGGTGTATTTTGTTGATCACTATGCAAGTCTTCAGTCTCATCTGCGTGAGGCGTTTCTGAGGTTAAGACGTAACTATTGCGCCAAAGAGCCTCATCTGTAAAAACACACCTAAGTAAATAATTGAATGGTCATTCATTATTGTCACTATTGGATCATTGTGCATGATGCTCTTGTACGTTGGTATGTTATTTTAT